CCGCCACCGCAAGCGAAAGAGCGAGAGAGGACCAACTGAGAGGAGACGCGCGACTCGGCCTCCCGCATCCACCCTCATCCCCCTCCCTTCTATCACCCGGCCTCGCCAGTTGCCCCCGTCCTTGCTTCGCTCCCCGCGCCCTTGAACAGCCCCCCTCTCTTTCGATTGTGACCTTGAGCCCCTAAGCCGGTATTGTCCCCCCTCCCGCCAGTCGCTCGCTTCCCCTTCCTTCCTTCATCCCTCTGCCGCTCGCGGATTTCGCTGACCCCGTGCCCCGCTTCCCACTTGTTGCCTTCCCCCCCCCCCCGGGTCCCACCGTGCCGCCCTGTCCCTCTCCGCTCCCGACGGCGCCAGTGTCACGTATGTCTGTCCTTTTCGAGACTCGCGCGCGTTGGGGCTTCGAGCCCGAGCGCCCGACCGAGCTGCGCCTGAACGCTGGCGATGTCGTCTACGTGCTGGATGCCTCGACCGGCGGGGAGTGGTGGAAGGGCCTGGTCGCCGACCCGAAGCGCCCGGGCATCCCGGAGTCCCTGGACAATTTGGACCAGCCGATTGGCTGGTTCCCCAGCACCTATGTAGATTTGAAGCCCGCGCAGCGAGCGGCCGAGGCCAACCCCGAGCTGGGGATTGTCCTCCCGCCGCCCGTGCCGGATGACGATGCGTCCTCCATCGCTTCCAGCGAGCATACGGCCCAGGCCGGTGAGGGGACTGCCGATCCCCCGGAGTCAGCTGTGCTGGCCGTCAAGCTGAAGCCGGTGGCCCCGGCCACCTCGGCCGCTGCTGCCCCGGCATCCAGTGAACCCGCCGCCCTGGTCAAGGCCCTGACTCCTGCGGCTGCCCGGGATGTTCCCGCTGCCACGGCTGCTGCTGCTGCTGCTGCTGCTGCTCCCTCTTCCTCGGCATCTGATCTGCCGGGGCTGGCGGTCATTGCCCCGACCGCCGACGCCTCGACCGCCGACGTCCCGACCGCCGATGCCCCGGCAGCCGATGCTCCAGTCGCCGATGCCCCGGCCATTGATGCCCCGGCCGCCGGCGGGGTGGTCATCGTGCCGGAGGATACCTCCGAGCCTTTCTTGCCGCCCATTTCCTCCACCCAGAACCGGGCGTGGTACACTCTCTACAAGCATCGCGAGGTGCGCGCATGACTGTGTCCTTTTGCAGCTTGTCAGCTCCTTTGCCCTGAGCGTCCTCCGTCTCCTTCTCGTTCCCCCTCTGACACACGGACACACGGACACACGGACACACGGACACACGGACACACGCGGACATGCAGGGACAGAAGGAGCAGTCCTTCCAGTCGCCCGGTGCGGCGGCGGCCGCCGCCTGCGCCGCAGTCAGCCGCGACAGCACGGTCCTCTCCAAGGCCGATCTGGACAAGATGTCCCAGTCCTCGGTGCAGACGCGCCGGTCGATTCGCCACAGCGTCACTGCTGGTGGGTCGCTGTCGGCCGGGTCCGGTGCCGGGCTGGCCGTGTCTCTGGCCGGCGATGGGGGGTCCAGCGGCACGGCCCCACCCTCGCGCAGCAACAGCAACAACCACCGGGCCACCATTTCCGGCCCCATTGTCGGGACTCCCTCCTCCCCGAGCACGCCGGTCATGATGATGGCCACCCAGTCGCAAATGCCCCCGCCGGTGGTCAAGTGGGTGAACTTCGCCGGGCCGGACATCGTGGCCAAGGTGGACGACCGCGGGCGCAAGCGCCAGGAGGCCATCTTCGAGCTGATCGAGACCGAGAGCACATACATCAATGACATCACCTTCATTGTGAATCAGTATTTGACGCCGCTGCGCACGCGGAAGATCATCCCGCCGAAGGCCATCACGGCCCTCTTTTCCAACATCGAGATGCTGCTGCCGGTGAACATCGAGCTTCTCCGGCATCTGACCGAGCGCCAGAGCATCAATCCCATTGTGGAGAATGTCGGAGACATCTTCCTCCATGTGGCCGACTGGCTGAAGATGTACAATGCCTACTGCTCGAATCACCCGTACTCGCTGATCGAGTATGAGCGCCTCAAGTCCCGGCCCTTCCGGGCCTTCTGCCAGGAGGTGAAGGCCCTGCCCGAGAGTCGGCACATGGATCTGTGCAGTTTCCTGATCAAGCCGGTGCAGCGCATTTGCAAGTACCCGCTGCTCATCCGCGAGATCATTCGCCACACGCCGGCCGATCACCCGGACCACCCGAACCTGGAGCGTGCCTTCCAAAAGATCGAGACCGTGGTGACCATCGTCAATGAGGCTACCCGCCAGGCGGAGGGCGTGCACAAGATGCTGTACCTCCGGTCGCGCATCAACAAGGTACGCCGGCCGGCTGGGCATGTACTTGCCCCTTCTCCTGCTGGTGCTCCC